AAATTTTCTTTTAAAAATTTATTTTTAATATTTTAGATAGCACTTGTATCTTCTTTTACAGATACATGAAGGGATGTTTCTTTTCACTCTTGTTCATGCAGTGGCAACAGAAGAGCTAAATAACCAGAGCAAGACCCTCTCCCTTTAATTAGCCATATAAAATGCATCTCAGGTTAGTCAACCACACTTTCACTGTGGTTCAACACTCCCTGGATAGCTGGCCATTTCCTCTATATAAACTACAGGCTGTACTTTGGAAGAGTGTACCCATATCTTAAGAAATTAGTTCCTCCTTCTGATATTATCAGAACAGCTACACAAAACTACAAGATGTTCTGAGGCCATACCCATTATAGGTCCCCTTCCCTGTGTCATTTTCCTGCATTAGAACAATACTTCATCTTTTCTTCAGAAACTACAATGTCACAATCTCTTTCACAAGGACATCTTAAACACATGAAGTTGTGAAAAATCTATACTTTGTTTTCAAATCTGTAAGTATTTCCCATGCATGACAATATGCAAATGCTCTCAATTTAACACTGATTTTTAAATATTAATTTTTAAGGGTCTTATAGCAGTGTATTGGCTTTATATTTACATATTAATGATTGCTATGCCTACTGCTTTTCTTTGGTTTTGTATTTCTTTGTTTTGTAAACATGACTGTGTAGCAGAGCATTAACAAGAATTCTTACTGGCTTTAACCAACCCATTACGTACATGACCTTAAAAAAAATACTTCTTCAGAAGTCTGTAGAAAGTAAGTGGTCACCTTTTCAATGTCTTGGGCTCTTTGTTCCTCTTGGACCTTCTGAACTTTCTGTCGTTCTGCAATACGTATACGAGCTATTTTATCTTCTATTGCCTTAGATTTTATTTCAAAATGCTCTGAAATCTGCTGTAGTTGCAAATCAGCCTGATGTGGCACTAAATTTTTCAAACGCTAAAATTAAACATCAAGCAATGAAGCATCAGAAACAGTAAGAAACACATTTAGATATTATAATTCTGCAATAGTAATTTCAAACTGTGTTTTCCTGTGTTAATGTACACAGAACAACAGGTAAACATGGTTGAACATTTTTCATAAAAATAAGACTAGCTCCATTGAAAAGAACATACAGGCTTGAACTTGAACAATGCCAAACTTTGTCCAGTTTGGAGAAAATGAGGCTTAGGGGTGACCTCACTGCTCTCTACAGCTTCCTGGGGAGGGGACCTGGAGAGGGAGGTGCTGGTCTCTTCTCCCTGGGATCCAACGACTTGATGTATTGGAATGGCTCAAAGCTGCGTCAGGGGAGGATCAGACTGGACATTAGGCAGCAGTTCTTTATTGTGAGGGCGGTCAAACACTGGACCAGGCTTTCTATAGAGGTGGTCAATGCCCCAACCCTGTCGGTGCTTAAGGGGCATTTGGGCAGTGGCCTTAATAACATGCTTGAACTTCGGGTCAGCCCTGAATTGGTCAGGCAGTTAGACAAGATAATTGTTGTAGGTCCCTTTCAACTGGAATTACTCTATTGTATCCAAACTGAAATACACAAAATTTAACATTAAAAAAAAAAAAAGAAAATTTACTAAAAGCACGATAGACAATTTTCCCAGACAGGCTGGGAAGTCTCCACATTTGGAGATACTCAAAACACAACTGAACAAGGTTCTCAGCAACCTGCTCTAGGTGACTTTGCTTAGAGTAAGGAGTGTGGATTAAGTGACCTCCAGAGGCCCCTTCCAACTTCAACAATTCTACGATCGAAATGCCATTTTGAACCTGCCTCTTGACAAGAGCTTCTTTCAGTTGCTTTAGCTTCTTTAAGCTATCCCTCTACATGTGAAAGTATGATTCAGCTGTTTGCTACTATCCTTTCACTTGTTGGCATACTTTCTGCTTGTAGTCTATTTTTCAGGAAGTGTACCAGAAAAACGTGAAATTTCACCAAGCTGAATTTGATTCACAGTATGTAGCTTCTTAAAGGTTGCTCATCCTGATAAGAAATTATGGTCAGCATATGCTGAACATTACTGTTGAAGACAAGAATGTCCTTAACAGAATCTAATACACCAGTACTGACTTCCTGACTTAGATACTCTCTTTCCACTTTGTTTTTTCCTCTTCATATTACTCAGCATATGGTTATTGCAGGATGGAATGTAATATAAATATATGAAGAGATGTGCAAGACACGGGACCAAACCACTGTGGCACAAAGCTCAACACAGTTATAAATAGGTTTTCTAGAGGGGAAATCAGTCTAAGTTGATACCTAGACCGCAATGCCGTGTGCAGTCTGTGCTGATCAAATGAGCAAAATGGTAGCTGCTGAACACGACTAGCCTTTGTTGCTATATGTATTTTGAGTCTGGAGAAAGCTTAAAAACAGAGCAGGTAACACAGAATGAGACAAAACAAAGGAACACAAAACACAGAATCAATATCCTCACGCGTCACAGATAAACTGTGTAATTCCAGTGTCACAGACAGCAAAGGACCTTTTTTTTCCATTGAAGTATTGGGTTCTGAAGAGGAGAGTTAAAAATTGGGGAGGGGAAGCATGCAACATACTTGAGCAGTAAATGTAAACAGGCTACTTTTTTTCCTGTATATTTATACAAAATAGGCAGAGTTAGTTACCTCTTGATACAAAACACTTTCAATAGACTGAAGCTTTGCAGTTGCTGCAGGTCTCATTGCTTCCATCGCTACTCCCGTGAGCTTTGCCTTTCTCTTTTTTTCTAAAGCAATATACAGTTCATACAAAAGCTTTGTTGCAGCCCCATGCTGTCCTGTCATGATATTTTGGGCCACATTCTCATTAAACTCTACACCAAGGAGGTGAAGCGTGGGCTCCAGGCGAGAAAAATTGTTACGTTTTGCATTTGCAACCCTGCATGATTAAAAAAAGCCAACAAAATCAGAATATAAACTTAGTTTCAATTCCAATTTGCTGTAATAATCATGGTCGTGACATTTATCTCATACCAAGATAGGAGGGGAAAAGAAAAAACACAGAGGACTTTCTTAGGGTAACGTGATACACAATTGGTTTTATACTGCAGTACATGTAGCTGCACTGGTCTACTAAGCATAACTTTTAGAAAAAATGAGAACACATTAGGTTATATAAAGCTTGATAAATGCAAACACAAAGTGCATATGACAGCAAAAGCTTACCCCCAATTGCAGCTAATTGTTTACCATCCACAAAAACTACATAAAGTTGGAATGAAGTTTCCATATGAACTATATTAGTTTACTTCAGCTCTAACCAGCCAAAACACAGAAAATTTTCAAAAAAGTCTATATAATCTATTAACCTTGCAACACAAAGAAATGGACACATGGGTTGGAGTAGTGTTGAATATAAAGACTATGGACTCAAAGAACATTTTACATTCAAAACTGAAATAGTAGATTGTTGATTAATGTTTCTCTTGATATGTAGATTCTCCTGTAGAAGGACTCAGGATCAAAATATATATAGGCTAAAACCTAAGAACAATAAATTATCACTGTATCAAAATTAACACATTAAATTTCAACCAACAAATTCATAACTACAACCTCAGTCAGAATGTCATGCTTTCTATACTGTTCTATCACTTGAGTTTACAACAGTACCTTCACATGAACCAACAAGCTTTTGAGGTCAGAGAGTTCTACAGCATAATTTTACAAAAATGTCCAATTTTAACTTCAGACCTCCTGGTAATACAGCATTCACTTTATTCCTAGACGAAACAGTTCAGAAGATTATTATTCTCATTGTAACAGTCCATGCCTTATTTCTTCCACAATTATATATAACTTCAGCTTACAACTATTGACCTTTTTTCTGCCATGGAGCCAATAGTAAGGTGAGCCCTGTTGGCAGAAATCACTTGACATGCATTGAGAAGCTGTGGTGATAGCACCTCTTAACTTTTTGTTCTGTAATCAGATCAGATGAAATTTCTTAACCTTGCCCCAACATACAAAAAATCGTTGTAAGAGTATAGGAAAAACCACAATATTTTACTTTTCAAATATGGACAGCCAAACTGGAAAAAGTTTTCTAGTAGTACTCCCTTTAAAAAAGCAGTACTTTTTAAAGTACTTTGTTGATGGGGCTGCAACAAAGCATTTTCTCAATTACTACTCCCATTCCTACCTGCCCAACAACTGTGCAACATAAGCAGCTAACATAGTTAAGGAGAACTTGACTAGTTAGTTGCAATGACACCATGTTCTTTTCTGTTAGAGCCTTCTAGATTACAGTTGCCTGTCCTAAAAAAGGAATCTACATTTCGCCACCATCCCAACAGGAACGATCTTGCCTTGGATTGTGCTAAAACATACCAAAGTCAAACAGGTTTATCAAATGATCCATGAATAATAAGCTTTTCCTTAATAGGACACTCTGAATTTAAAAAGTATTATTTTATAGATATTAAGTAAGATTAAGCAGGTAGAGGTTCTTGCAGCATTCCAGGGCCATATAATAACTATTACACAGTAATGATTTAATGTGCAGAAGAAACACCTTGGAAGTGAGAAAACATTGCCTCAATTCTCAACAGTTGTCAAAACAACGATGTCCATAATTATTAGAAAAGAAAATAATGAAGAAACATGAAAACATCAAATTTTCTTTACAAAGTCATGGAGTATCATGGTAAAGAACACAATATACACTCCTTCTCCCTCTCACATGCCAGATACTCCCAGAACTTAATGATTATTAAGGCCTTTCTCTGGACCTGCTATACATTCATCTGTCACACTGCTGATAACCCCCTGAGATGGGCAGTTCAGGCAGTTTTCTGTCCAGTTCTCTCTCACCTTACCTTGTCCGGACTCCATCAGTTTGGCTATGAGGATGCTAAGGAAGCAGTGTCAAAAGTCAACATAAACAGCAAATACTGATCTTCTCTCAAGCACTCAGCCCGCCACCTCATTGTAGAAGGTTGTCAGGTTAGTCAGGCATGATTTCCCCTTCATAAAGCCATACTGACTACTCCCTGTTGTCTTCTTAGTATGCTTGGAAATGGTTTCCATGCTTGTTGGCTCCAGCAGTTGCTAGGGACTGAGGTGAGGCTGACTGGCCTGTGCATCCCCAGTTCCTCCTACATGCTTTCCTTGGAAGAGAGGAGTGGCAGGTGCGTTCTTCTAGTCCTAGGAATCTCCCCCAGTGTTGCAAGGACCTTTCAAAGATTATTGAGAGTGGCTTAGCAATGACATCAGCCATGTCCTTTAGCACAGGTGAGTATGTGCCATCAGGTCCCATGGACTTGTGTACTTCCAGTTTATTTAAATGTTCCTTAACCTGATCCTCCTCCACCCCTTGGTGAGTCTTTCTTGCTGCAGACTTTCTTGTTAGTCTCAGGGCCTTGGGATTTCCAAGTGTGAGTTTTACCAGTGGAGTAGATCAAGACAGAGAAGGCATTAAGTACCTCAGCCTTTTCCATGGCAGACTGAGGAGTATTCGAGAGTCTGAGAGGCAGAGTGATCCCTGGAGCTGTACTCTGCTATCAGTGATGCATAGAAGCCAACTCAGCATGGCCAGTAGAGGTAGATCATCGATTTGCTTTGAGCCAGGAGGAAGGTAGTGTCACAAGGTATAAGAAGAGGTGGAAGAATGTTACACAATGGAGTGGTAAGAGAAATCCCTGCTTACCCTCACCTGTTTTGACTCCTAACACACATTGGCTTTCCTAAAGCCATCCCTCCATACTCAGACAACATCTCTGTGCTCCTCCTGGGTTGCCTGACCCTGCTTCCACATCTTGTATTCTTTGGTTTTACATTTGAGTTTTATCAGTAGCACCTTATTCTTCCATTCATGCCTCCTGCTGCCTTTATTGCCTTTAGTCAGTTTTATTCACATTGAGATCAATTATCCTTGGTGGAGATGATTCTTGGCAGGGGAAAAAAAAAAAAAAAAAATCAAACAGCTGTCTTGGATCCCTCTTTGCTCCAGGGCCACTTCACACAGGATTGTTCCAAGCAGGTCCCTGAACAAGCCAAAGTCTCATCTCCTGAAGACTAGGGTTGTGACACTGATATTTAGCTTGTTCACTCCTCTCAAGATCATGAACTCTGACATCTCATGGTCACTGCAGTCAAAGCTGCACCAGATCTCCCTTGTTTGTACATACTAGGCTTAGTAGAACGTCTCCCTTCTTCAGCTTTTCAATCACCTTTATGAGGAAGTTATCATCATCAATACACTCCAGTAACTTCCTAGATTGCTTCTGCCTAGCAGTGTTTCTCTTCCAGAAGATACTAACTTGGTTAACGTTTCCTATTGAGACCAAGGTCTGTGAAAATGAGAATTCTTCCAGTTGCCTCCAGAAAATTTTATGTACTTGTTCCTGCTCAGGTGATCTGTGGCAAACAGTCACCACACTATCACCCAGTTCGGTCCTTCCTCTAATCCTAACCCACAGGACCTTAACTGGTCATCACATATCCCAAGGCAGAACTCCTTGCATTTTCTCTGCTCTTTCACACAAAGGGCAACTCCTCCTCCTCTTCTTCCCAGCCTGTCCATCCTAAAGATATATCCAGCCATGGCAGCAGTCCAGCTGTGTGAGCTATCCCACCGCTTCTGTGTGATTCCTGCACACAAGCCTCTAACTCCTCCTGTATGTTCCTCATGCTGCATGCATTAATATACCAGCACTTCAGAGAAGCAGCCAGTTGTGCTGATTTACCAGAAAAGGTGTGGATGCTTCTCCCATATGCTGTCTTCTCAACACTTCCTTAATTGCATACATAAACTTAGGGTGGGTAGTCTTCTCCGCTGTTTTGGCTCTTTTATTCACATCACTCTCCTTCTCTTACCTGCCAGTCTAGGCCATCACTTCGTCACTTGTTTGAGGGTAGTCATCTCCTTCCCCCTTCATTCCTATTTTAAAGCTATCCTCACCAGGTTTGTCAACCTGTTGGCAGCCATGCTTTTGCCCAAGTTGGTCAGGTGGATTCCATCCCTTCCTAGCAGTTCTCTTATCTTCAAAGACTATCCCACAACTGTGAAAAACAAATCCCTGTTGTTGACAGCAGCTGCAAAACCACCTGTAGAATCTAGCTACTCATCAAGCTCTTCCACCTCACCAGCAAAACTGTGGAAAAAAAACCCTTGTCCCCCTTGCCTTTGACTTTTGCCTCCAGACCTATGCTTGATATGCTCCAAGTCTCTTCAGCAGTACCCTTGACGCCCACATAGAAGAGCAGCAGGGTTAACAGTTCAAGTGTCAGACAAACCTCCGCAGTCCTGGACCCAACCCCCAGCAAGCAGCAAACCTCCTTGGCTAGTATGTGAGGTTGGCAAATGGGTACCTCCATCACCTGCACTATCACCAACTTCCTGGTGCTCCCATGTGGTTCAGACTTCTCCAGCTCAGCTGCTTTGTTGCACAGAGCCACCAGCCTCTCCTCTGCTACCAATAAATCAGTTTTGCAGCTGCAGATCAGCAGGTGGAGCAGGAACCTTCCTTTTCTTACCAGAAGTCACAAACTGCAGGTCATCTCCTTTTCCCAATCCCACAAGCACAGCTGCAGGTTCAGGTTACTGTGTTTGTAGTGTCTCAGCGAAGATCCAGTCAATCTCCTTTTCAACACCTGTGACACTGAACAGTCTACTGACCTCCTTCTGCAGCAGCTTGACATGGTGACGCAGATCCTCCACAAGCACACACCTCTAAGGGCAAAGCTGACACTTCCCATGCCCAAGGCTAAGTAAAGACTCGTCATTCCCTACAGCCTGAGACATGGAGAATTGCGTCACTTCTCTGGAGACCATCTGAGTTCAGGCCTCCGACATTCTGAGTAGACGCTCCAGTAGGTGATGGGGATCATGCCCTGTCATGCATCATGACCTTTGCTGAGCACACATACACTGTCTCAGCAGAGTTTCTAACCTCTTCTTGCACCCACCGAAGTAATCTTCACTAATTGCTCCTTCTTAATCAGAAGTCAGCTGGAAACAAGAGCTCTAAGCACCCTTATATCAGGAAAAGTTGACAGAACTTGTTAGAAGCTGCTACAGCTTGCTAGAAGTAAGACTCCTGAGGCTATCCTGCCCCAGCAGTAGCAGGCACTCTCAAGTCTCTCCAAGAGTTACCACAAGTTCTCCAATGACCCCAGAAATTCCTGGGAGATCTAGAAGTCCTAGATGCAGACCCCAAAAACTGCTGTGTTTGTTGGCTGCATTTGTTAGCTGTGCTCAAGCTGCTTTCGTTTACGAGTTGGTGGGACGCAGGATAGGAAAGGGTATAAATAAATGAGAAGCGTAAAGAACATAAAAAAGAGGAAGAGGATGTACAGCCTGGCACACAATACACATGTGCACCGGTCTGCCAAAACAGAGCATAAGCCAAGGAACCCCATGAACTGCATCATCAACATAGCAAGGCTCACAGATCTGCACAAAATTATTCAACTTCCTGTTTTTCTGTTCTTCATTGTGGATATTACGCCAGCTTACTTGTAAACTTATAAATTCTTATATGATCTTCTGCCAGGGCTTCACCCAATGTCTTACAATGCACCTCCCCCATTTCCATTTCAGTGAAGATACAGCAGTCACCACCACACCCCACCTCTGGATTCCTGGCTGTACTTAGCTCATGGGGACAGTGTCAGTATCTCCAGTCTTAGAGACATCCTTGAAAGGCTTGTTAAACTTTTCGTCTATTCTGCTACTACCATAGTTACAATCAAAATGTATTGTTTTGTTGAAGTAGTATGATCAATTTCTCCAGAAATACAAAGTAAATCTGTGCGTCAAATACAAGTAGCTTCTGACGTACTGATGAATGTATCAAATCTTGGTAAGTTCTAGATGTCTTTCCCACTCTACATTAGCAAGTTCTAACTAAAAAATAGATATTTTGTGTTAATTTCTGTAAGAGATGTGTTATCCATAGGTACTAACCTGCTCTGTGAAAATTGATTAAAGTCATCCTGAAGACCGTATTTGTGTAGAAGTTCTCCTAGCAGGTAGCCAGTAGAAAATTCTTCTGAAAATGATCCTGGAGCTAAGATCGTTTATTTGTTGTTTGTTTTTTTTTTTAAAAAAAAAAAGTTAGGATGATTAAAAGAATTTCTACATTAATATTAGTACTCATTATTTTTATAACAAAATTAAGTCCAAACTTTATTAAATAATTCAGAGTAACTTTAGGAGATTCATCTACCAGTAACTAGTTTTCAAGACACAAAGTGTCATCTACTTCTCATTTTCCATGTTAAATAAGTAAACTGGTGTAATTTACTAAATATAGATGATAATTAGTAAGTTTTCCATAAAAAAATGCAACTGAAAGCAAAGTTAGATCTAATGTGCTTCTCTTCCAAAGACAGTTGCTCCTCCTTGCAGAACACATGCTTCTCCAAAGCCAGCACAACACCTGCCACACAAAACAAAGCACTGCTTTGCAAACACACTGAAACACTTTTATCCTCGGGAGTCCTTATTAGCAGATGAAGCCTGAGCACCTCATGCCTCCTGAGAGCACTTCTGTCTTAAGGAAAATTAACTGCACCTCGAAAATTACTGTCTTCCCATGAAGGCTAAAACTCTGCCTGAGGATGGATCTGGACGGGAGGAAGCGGGAGGGTTTATCGGTCGGTCAGCGGGAGCTGGGCCCGGGGAACCCCCGCGGTCCCTGGGCTGGTGACCCTGCGGCAGCCCCCTGAGCTGGCAGGCAAGCCAACCGCCCCCTGAACCCCCTCCCAACGCAGCGGGGCGCCACTCACCCACGCTCC